AAGGGAAAGAAGCTGATTTCGTATTTTTGCCATTTAAAAAAGGCCTACAGAGATTAACTTGCCGAAGGTACTTGTTTTGTAATTCTGTTATAGGTTTTAAGAACCGTCATTCCGTTTTCCACCTTAACCGAAACTAGTGTAACAATTCTGTGTGCGCTTATTTAGGCATTGCTTGTTAATCTTTCCTCTTTTCTTCTAGGTGATTTTCCTTCATGGATTGGGAGATACCGGGTAGGTACCATGATTAGTAACGGTGCTGAAATGGGGTCATGCCGCTGTGCTTACCAGGTCAAAGGTTTAATGTTTAAGAACGCTGGAATTGTATCAAAAAGGATTGCTAGTAATATTTCCTACAGTCCAGTAATAAGATGCAATCTTTTCAAAACCCCTTTATCATCTTGAATTTATCATTTTTCAGCTCCTATTTCTGGAACATATTAAAATTGCAAACTCCTTCCTAGCTGCTTTGGGTATTGGATACCAGAGGTCAGTGGAATGTTTGTAGAGATAGTGTGCAATTGAGAGCTTTCCAGGGGAGTTAAAATTTCAGAGAAGGTTGAGGAGAACTCGTTAAGTAGTAGCAACGTAAGGCGTACATCTTTCTGAATGGCGGATTAGATAGATGTTCCCCTAAAAAAGAAAATCAGTTGAAGGGCAAGGGAGGCAACTCAAAGATTTATTTGGATGTTTATCGAATAAATTTTGTTGTACTAACTTTAGATATATCATTTATCTTTTACTCAGGCTTTTTCCATATTGAGAGGTTTTTGCTTTTGTATTTAAATCCGTGGTTATCTGTGTGAAACTTAGGTAAAGTATGAATGTTGTTAAATTGCAGAATTGGAGGAAAACTGAAGATAAATTTTGGTAAAGTAGCCCAAGCTACTAAATTTCCTTTTAAATGAGGCATTGGTCTAGATTAGGTTTTGTATTGTTTGGATTCTTTTTGGCGGCTGGCCGGTAGGGGGATCAGTGACCTTGGTGTTATACAACACAGCACTCTCTAGATTGGATTTTAAAAGTGATTCTTCTTCTTCTTACCTACAGCGTCAAGGTGCATAGCTTGTCTGGAGGTAGAGAAAGGTTGCAGGATCCTTTCTGGCAATCAGGTCGTCTTATGAAAATGGCAGACTTATACTGTTCAGTGGAACTCAAATAGCAGAACCTGTTTCATAACCAATACTTTCTTGGTGCTGCTAGCCGGGGAGAAGGTTGCTACCCTGTAACCTTGCTGATAACAGGAATTTTTAGGCTTGAAGGACCAGTACAAGCAAAAAACAAGCTTCAGGGTAGGCAGATTTCTCTGTGGACTCCAATTTAGCCAGATTCCACAGACTGAAATTAAGAGTGAAAATGATGAAGAAAATCAAGATCAGATTAAGAACACCAAGAGCGTCCATGGTATCTTGACTAAGAGTTAAGTTTATAAAAAAAGTTAAAGGCTTCCAGTTTGAAAATACTTTGTGAGATAGCACTGAAGAAAAACTGACTCTAGACTGATTCCATGAATACATGATGAAACTCAGAACCAGTCAATCTGACAAGTGGCAATTTAATAGTTTAAAATACTTTTGGAGAATGCATCTGACCACCAAAGTGTTCTTATTCATGATGTGTAATAAATCCAGAAACTAATATTCAAAAAAATATGTTATAGACCATAATGTATTACATGCCATCACAGTTTTCCTTTCAAAATAAAAATAGCTTTTGTTAAGATTTTGAAAATGTTCCATTTGTATTGTAAAAAAGTGAAAAATGCAAATATGTTTGAGAATGAAAAT